TTAAAGCGGAATGGTACAAGTGTTAAAGTATACTGTGTAAGTGTTAAAGTGAATGTACAAGTGTTAAGGGTTATTGGTCTGTGCATTTGTATAATTTCATGTTACTCTTTCCATATTGGATGTGTCTTAAATTTACCTAACACTTATGATCGACACGTGAAACATTTTACACTTATCACTAGCTACTTTAGTCTTTTTTTCTTAACATTTTGTACTTTAACTCGATACACTTGACATTTAAGCACTTTAAAATACATATAGTCAATACCTTTGACAATACACACTATTTTAAAACATTTAATTTTCATTATTTTTGGTATATTTTTTAATTTTTAATTTTCTAAATATTAGTATCTTTTTATATATACACATGTATTTATTTATGCAATTGAGTAAGAATTATATATTTGTGAATTAAATAGCTACAAAAAGCAGAAAAAAAAATTTAAATTCTATTATAACTTTTACTAATTGTTGTCGTTTTAATTAGCCAACTTGTATGAAATCTTATGAATGAAATATACATAGCTTTATAAAATATATTTATGACGTTTGGAATTCATTTTGTATTGGTGTCTTTTAATGTACGCATGGGTGTTTGTTCTTCCTTTATTTAATTTCAATATTACCTGCAAAAGAATTAGCTTTACCAGGAAACTTAGTTAAAGCTTTAATTAGGAAACTTGAACTTATTTCTTAATCCAACTTGGTGATATAAAATTTTATTTGTTTCTCGGGATTCAAAGCCGAGCTAGTGTTCCTACTTTCTTGCCCTAGGTCCTTTATTTTTTTTTCCTTTTCATATGAGGAATATTGCCTCAGTGCATATATATTGACAAATACCACTTTTCATGTATGTAAAGTATAACTCATTATTTTAACGAAAAGAAATACATTCTTTGATTTAATGAATTTGCAGAAATTATCACATGGTTTCTTCTCACTTTCTTTAAAAATTATTTTTTTGAAAAAAGGTTAATACATTAATCAAGCACTAAATATAATACAATAAAATATAGCATTTATACTTAAACTGAAATTTATAATTTTTTATTAAAAAAAGTACTGATAATTTAATTAAGTAAATATCGATTTGTTATTAAAAAACTTGAAACTCTCATTCATATACAAATACGTATAAACAAAGTTTATCTCTAGCAATTAATTATGACACATATGTAACAACTATGTACTTTGAAATAAAATACACATATATGTGTATGTAAAATTATATATTTACTACATATACAAAGGCGAAATAGTTCTTTGTCCTTTGGAGACTGTTTCATGTTCATAATGGTCATATATTACTATTTATAATGTATATACTGATCTAAAAGAAGTTCATTATCATATTGCTTATTGTATTGGTTTCCAACGGCAAAAGGTTTAAATACTGAGCACTCAATAGCCACTCTCTTGCTTTACTCAAGAAATTTCCATCTTTTTCACTCTTCTGCGGTGTTGTAGTTATATTATTCTTGGGAGATTTGAGTAAGTTGATATAGCTTTCCAAGTCATGAACACATGAAGGATTTTGCATGTTGAAAAAGTCTAGAATCAACTCAGACCCAACATGAGCATAACAGACGCAGCTCCATGGAAGCTCATATCTTCCTCCTAAAACCCTAAAATTTTCGTTAAACAAAACGCCTGGTAACTTGGTTATGGGATCATTAACGTTGACTATTCTCAGTACTTTGACTCCTAATTCATCACACCGTTGCTTGAACGCCAGGTTTCCAACTCTTGGTCCTCCAAAAGAGAAAACCGTGATGGGTATTTCTGTGTTGAGGGAATACTTGATTTTGTTCAAGCCCAGCTCTGCAATGTCATATGAAAGAAGAAGAGCCAATGAGCTCCCCATGCTATGACCTGCTAAAGTTATACTCACCTCCTCGTTTTTGTACTTGTTGAGTAACCTAGAAACCTCAGAGAGAAGCTGTTCACGGCAACTTCCCAGGCCAAACTTGCTGTGATCTCTCTCATCTGAAGTGTAAAGGCTCAAGAACCCAGACTCTACCTTCACCTCTGGCCGTGGCTTATATGGGTCGAGCCTGGCTGGAACCAGGGAACTCATGAAGTTGGCGATCCATTCAGGATTTGTCACGGTCCCACGGAAATTAATTAGAATATCTCTCCTCCCCAGCCTTCTCACCATATCTTCATTGGAAACGGCGACGTATCCTATCCACCGACCGCATGAGTGGATAGCGGGGATGTTGTTGATACTGATTTGAGGAGTAGCGTAGATGTACTTGGTAACTTGGTAACCTGAATTCTCCATGCCAATTTCTTTAAACATGTTGGCTTTGCCGTACTTGCAATTTAGGTAGCGTTTGGAGTTTGGGTCCAGATCGAAGGCCTTGTAGCATGCAGTGACAAGTTCTCCATAACGAATGATTTCTTGACGAAGCAAAGGGTGCAAGGTGGGTGAGAGTAGATTTTCCCAGTTGTTGCAGCCTTGCAGCTCTCTCCACGTATAAGTATTATTAGAAATAGAGGTGGGGCAGGTGGGTTCTGAAACAGAAGAGGCCGTGGCAGGTGGAGCTGAAGGCATATCACAGGTAAGTTGGTTTCTACTAGGTTGTCTGGATTTACTTTGTGGCAAGGTATAGACCTGGCTAAATGAATGAGAGGACGAGCTTGACGCTGACTGTGTCCGGGACCCTGCAGATTGCATGACCTTGTCAATGTCGACTGGTGTTAAAACATTAATTGCAACCATTGGTAAGCTACCTTCCTGTATTAACTGCTACAAAATAATAACACAACACAACAGACATACAAACGAGAGAGAAGAGAGATTATAGAATTATGGAAGAGGTTGGTGTGTGAAGGAAATATCATATATATATATATAGGTTGGTAGAGAACGAATTTAGCTTGACAGACAGCGTTCGTGTATCATGATCAGTGAGGAAGTGAAAATTGGACATAATTAAGAGAGAGAGAGAGAGAGAACTTAAAAGGCATGTTTGGCGAGTATTTGACTGAGCTAATTGTAGTCAAAGAATGGAGATCAGAAGAGTTGGCTGAACATATTTAATGTGGTCGGTTAGAGTGATTTTGTTGCGGCTGGTGCTTCTTCATATATATTTTTTAAAAAATAATTATCCCTTTCTTTTGACTTTATTTTTCTTATTTTCCTCCATCGCGTTGACTTTCAAAACTTATATGCTGATCAATCACCATTTCTCCGAGTAAATGTGTTATTAACTCTAAATATAAATCAAGCACGAGGGACGGTGATCTTCCCATTGTTCTTTTTTTTTTTCTTTACTTTATTACTAATGCCATTCATTTCTTTTTACCGTCACCAAAATTACTGAAAATACATCTTGAACGAATTATATATTCTTGACCTGTATATTCTTTTTTCTTCCCCCAAAAATAGAACATTATAAAGAGGAGGAATTCAACTGGGAAATTCTTCAATCTAAAATTATGTCAAGGATAATAATTACATATAAATATGAAGAAGTGGCTTTATATAAACATTAACTAACTAGAGTTGGTTAATATAACTAACACATGTCTAACCTGTCGGGTCTCCATCAAGAAATGTATAAACTTGTGTAAATTAGGATAATTACTAAATTAATTCACCTAGTCTAATTAATAATACCAAACCAATCAATAAGGCAAATCAAAGCTAACATACAACGAAGTAAAATAATGGCAAGTAAAAAAAAAAAAAATCTACAAAAGAAAGAGACATAAGATTTTGCGTGTAAAATCTTTGTGTAGAGAAAAAAATTACAGGTTAAATTTTGAGTCAAATTTACTATTAAAAAAATCAAATATAAAATATTCTCAAATAACTCACACTATAGATAACCAGTAATAGAGAAAAGAAATAAATACTTATCTAGCAAAATACAATCCTTCTTGAATGATCACACTAAGAAATATAGAGAATAAACCTCCAAAATTCATTTGGAAAACACTTGTAGGTTATGATGCATGAGTGAGAGAAACAAAACAACCCATTATATTTTCTTCTCACTTTTACATTCATGAGAGACAAAACCAAGCCTCTTCTTTTCTTTCTTTGGTTCCCATGTGTGTGTGTGTGAAAAAACAAAAGTGAACTACTTATATTTTCTCTTTAGTTTTCGTCCATAGATAAGAAGGAAAAGAAAAACTAAAGAAAATTGTCCCTTCTCCTTAGTTCCCATGCATGTGTCACAAAAACAAAACCCCTCTCTTAAAATTTTCTTTTCTAACGGCAGATTTTATAATTCTTATTTTTCTTTGTTATTTTCTTTATTAGCCCTAATGGGCTAGAATTGATTGGTCCATCATGCCAAGATAAACAGTCTCTGCCTCCTGTCTATGGAGAAATGTCTACACATCCATTGATCAATTATCACTCAGTCTCACCATCTTAATAAAGACTGATGCTTGTCATGACTTACCATCTTGATCAATATGTTAAGTAGATTTTTATTAATGTAAATCTTCTTTAGTAACATTTCTTGATTATTCATCATTTCATAAATTCAATGATATCTCACATTAACATGCTTAATCTCACGGTAATATATGACATTCTTACTCATTTTTGAATCACTTTGACTATCACAATTTTTTAAATACCCATCTTGCTTCAAACCCAAATCTTTGAGAAAGTTTTTCATCCAAAGCATTTCTTTACCTGCTTCAATCATAGCTATGTACTCTGCCTCAGTTTGACTATCATAATTCACTAAATACCCATCTTGTTTCAAACCCAAATCTTCAAGAAATTTTTTTATCCAAAGAACTTCTTTACTTACTTCAGTCATAGCTATGTATTTTACTTTAGTTGTGGATGGAATAACAAACTTATGCAGTTTAGATTTCCATGATACAACTTCCCCTACAAAACTAAACATATATCTTGAAGTCAACTTCCTATCATCAAGGTCACTTGTTTTAAGAGTACCTCTCAAATACTTAAGAATTCATTTCACTGCCTCTTAGTTATCTTTACTAGGATTTAAAAAAACTTACGAAACCAACAACATGAGCAATATTTGGGCAGGTGGAAACCATAACATACATTAAACTTCTAAACTACAAAGGAGTATGGAATGACTATCGTTTTTTCCTTTTCCTTTTAACTAGGTGGACGAGATTTATTGATAAATGCAAAGTAATTAGCAAGAGGTGTGCTAACAAGCTTAATATTCTTCAAATTAAATCTATTTAGAACTTGCTCAATATACTTCTATTGTGATAACTAAAACTTCCTAACTTTTCTATCACGAGTAATTTCATGCCCAAAATTTATTGTGCTAGTCCCAAATCTTTCATATTAAAGGAGCCAATCAACTCCTTTATCAAACCACTAGTCACTGTAACATCTTTCTCTACTATCAACATATCATCCTCATAGAATAAAGTAATAACAAACTTACCTTCTAGAAATGTCTTAAAGTACACACAATGATTTATATCTATTCTAATGTAGCCATGACTCACTATGAAAGAGTTAAATTTTTTGTACCATTGTCTTAGAGCATATTTCAACTTAAACAAACTCTTCTTCAGCCTGTAAACTATATGTTCTATGTAAATTTCTTTCTCAAATCATTATAAAGGAATGTAGTTTTCATATCTACCTACTCAAACTCAAGATCTAACCTAGTAGTTAAACCAATAATAACTCGAATGGGGCTCTTCATAATAGGAGAAAACATCTTATCAAAATAAACTTTTTTCTTATGTTTAAAACCTTTTATTACCGAATAAGCTTTATATTTCACTAGCTTCTCTTTATCTATCTTAAGCTTGTAAACCCATTTATTTTTTAAAGCTTTCCTACCTTCTGAAAGTTCAACAAGCTCATAAGTATTGTTATTTTTCAGATAACTTATTTCATATTCCTTACTTTATCCACTAAGCTTTCTCTTTATGATTTTGAGCTTCTTGGAAGCTTTTTGGCTCCCCTTCTTTAATAATCATGACATGCTGAAAATTAGGATATCTGGTAAATAGATTATACATTCTAGTTGACCTCCTAATCTAAGGTTCTTCTACAATTTTATGTGGAAAAGGCTATTCCTCCTGCTCAACATCATGGTTGATATTAATTAATGTTGATATAGCATTAATTTCACATTTTTCGTGCAACTCTCCCTCATTTATGACATTTTTTATTGGAGAAATTAGTACAAGAAGAAGAATATTTTTACTTTTTACAATCTTTTCTGATGTCTCAAAGTCCAAAAAGGTCACATTTCTAAACCAAATGACTTTTTTCCCCTCACCAAATCCCATAACTTATACACAAACTTTGCATTTTCATAACCAATACAAATACATGGAACGGTCATGTCATCAAGTTTTTGTCTTTACTCTTTAAGCACATGCACAAATTTCTTGCACCCAAATGCTTTCAAGTAAAAGTAAGTAATATTGTTCCCATATCATACTCTTTTAGGAATATTAAAATATAAAGGAGCTAGTGAAGAGTAATTCATTAAGTAGTATGTAGTGTAAAGTGCTTTCAGCCTAAAATCACTTTGGTAGATTAGTCATTTTTAGCATGTATATGAGCTTCTCTATAATGGTTCTGTCTATTTTTTTAAGTACACTTATAATGTGGAGTGCCAGGAACAATCTCTTTATGTTTGATTCCATGTTGTAAATAATAATTCTTTAACTCATTTGAAGTGTATTCACATTTGTTATCACAAAAAAATACTTTAAAAATGTTTATTTTTATCTTTTTATTATGGCATGGAATTTGAAGTACTAGGAAACCTTATCTTTTATTTTAAAAACAAACACCCAAACTTTTCGTGAAGCATTATCAACAAAAGTAACAAAATATCTACTACCTCCTACAGTTTTCACATCAATGATACCACATATATCAAAGTAAACTAACTCAACCACATTCTTTTTTCTTTCAAAAGACTACTAAAAGAAATTCTATATTGCTTGTGATATAAATAATTATCATAAGAGTTTAAACTCATATATTTGACAAAGAAAATGAGAGAATTCTTTTCAATAATTTGTAACCCTTTTCACTCATATGACCTAACCTCATATACCATAAGTCTAGAAAAACATCATATTCAGCTGCACTCAAAGCACCTTTAATCGTCTTTACTTGAGTCTTGTAGAGTGCATAACACTAATATGCTTCTAGTAAACATATTGAACCTTTGGTGAGTTTGCATTTTCTATCACTAAAGAAGTTATAATAACTATTTAGATCGAGGGCATGAATATAAATCAAATTCAAGAGCAAATATGTCACGCACATTTTTCAAAGTCAATGTGCAACCAACATTTATTTGCACACATGTATCATAAATACTCATTATATCTACATAGCTAGTGTTATCGATCTTCATTTTATAAAAAGTTTTCGCTTTGTACATAGTGAAGACATTCTTCTTGGGTGTAGCATGTTAGGAAGCTGTTGCATCAATACTCTATTATTACAGTAGTATTATGATCATTTGTCTTTTTTTTTCACCATTATGTTCTTTTTTCAAAGCCTTTCAATTTTGTTTAATATACTCCTTATCCAATGATAATAATTTAATTTTCATTTTA